GGCTTCATCATCACTCAGAGTCTGGAGGCACCACTGCCGACCGGCATCGGACATGAGGAGACAACACCATGGCAAATTCTACTCAAGTCGAACAACGGAACACTCAGCATTGAACCCGGACCTCTGGGTGATGGGGGCACTACTTGACACGGTCATCTCATTTCTACACTGGTAAAATACCATAGAACAAAATTTCTCTAGTGGCCACTGCGTGTTGCTGTTTGTCTGGGAGCATTGGGTTTGGGATTTCAAGCCTGGATCTTTTGCGAAAGGCGCACAGTCAAGCAAGTTACCTGATGACTGGCAATGTGGAAGCTTGAACAAACTCAAAAGTGCCCAACAACAAAACTGAAAACCTCGACCCACCCTCCACAGACTCCAAAAAGAAGCAGTCCTCTCTTGCGCGGCAAACAGTTTTCTGCAATAAGCTCTATAAGCCTGTTTGTTGAGTCAACATAGTCAACTGCCCTTTTGAAACTAACGCTTGTCAGCAAACGCTCGCGTTTCTGAATTAATAGCTATAATGAATTGCCGCTCAAGTGGAGATTGAGCTGGTGACCTACTTCTCTAACCAGTCATCCCGCGACTCACGGAGATCGGCGTCACTCCTGAGGCGGGGCAAACGTAGGAGTCTTGACGAGCATGGAGCTGAAGGTTCCACTGAAGCTTCATCCAATCCTGTCCATGGCATGGATCGGAACGCTTCAACCAGCAGCCATTAAAAACAGGTTTTGCTTTTTAATGCGCATGTTTGACCTCTCAAGCGTGATGAGACAGCATTGAAAACTCGGACTGCCATTGAAGCATCTCCAGCCTGCCACGAACGCAGACCGCTTTACTCCCTGCGAAGCAAGTCCTGCACTGACTGTCGGGGTGATTTGTTGTGTCCGGAGTAATGGCACATGTGGAACCACACTAGCATTAGACTAGCATCTTCAAGGGTCACGGAATGTAAAATGAAGTCCTGGATCTTCAGAAGTTGCAGCCACTTTGTCCACCGCCTGCGGACACAGGAGATTGAACGACATCCAAAGCTTTTCCAAAAAACGCAAAGTTGCGAGGCCTGAGGGTCTGTGACGTTGCCGCCCTGGCACCCATTGGTCTGTGGCATTACGTCTGGCGTTCCATCAAGATTTAAAAAACATGAAGCTGCACACAGTGCGCCTTCTCATCAAGTTGATGTTTTGGAGGAAGCGGCACTTCCTTAAGGAAGTCAAATCTCATGTCTAGCACCTAAATGTTCGTCAATATTCTTCAGAAGCTGTCCTTAAGACTCACCAGAACAAAATCCATAGCGCCCATCACAATGGTTATATATCATGTAGCTTTCAGCCTAGGCTCCACGGAGGAAAGATCCCAGTCGGAGTCTGTAGCTTCTGAATCTTCGCGCAAGACTGAAATAAGCACAGGCTGAGGTTGATTCTTATCTTCTGCTGCTCCCCACACCAAGCCAAAGTAGCTGTTGCTGCTGGTGGGTCTCGAGTGGCTCAAAAGAGCGCGCACACTCTGAGCCCAGGTATTCAACATGGGAAGCATCGGACACAGAACGCTGCTGACTTTTCAGCTGTTTCAGTTTGAGTGGACAAACAAGCTTTCGGTGGAGTGGAGATGTAATATCGGCGAATATCAATCGGTCGTCAAAAACAACCTGACAATCAGGCCAGGCGCGCCGCATCGCACCGCAAAGCAGTGGGGCGAAGTTGGCAAGGCGAACACAACCACGACCATCAAAGCCACACTAATTAAACTGGCAACTGCCAATTGAGAGACGAAACTTTCAGCTAACTAAGAAGAACGCTCATTGCCAGGTCTGCCATCCGCGGGATGACCACGTTTCCAATCGAGCGCAAGCGCTCGACTTCCACAGGTGTGTGGTTTTTCGACGACAGCCAAGTTGCCACTGGAGGGCGGTTTCTGAAATGAAAGCATCGATGAGCCTGCTCGTTCATCTGGTGCAAGGTGGGCAGCTGGGTGCCCTGAACAAAACAGAAGCACTACATACAGGTAGTCCTGGCAGGCCTGCTACAAGCTTGCCTGAAAAGGTTGACATCCAGCTTTCCATGCGTAGAGGAAAATTCTGCCCCGATTCACCTTTCACATTCTTTGAAGAAAAAACAGAACATCATAGAACATCCATGCAACAGTTACACCCTTTGCAGAAAGCAGTGAAATTCATCTTAGGCCGCAGCATGGTAGCCCGCGTTTTGCCCTCTAATGGCACACCACTTCACGGAGTACCCACGGATGCGGAATTCCTGCAAAGGACTTGTATCTATGCCTTAACATGTAGGCGCTAAATTTACAGCCAAATACAATGAAAAGCAAGGCAATTGAAGCGCTCACCTTCAAAACGTACTCGAGGACTGGGCGCAAGCTAGCTGCCAGGAGGTTCTTCACGTTCTCCAACAGGCACCATTGCCTGAGATTTGTCCGGGTCATGTGTGTAGCATGTTTTACTGCAATGAAACTCGCAACACCCAAGAACCAACTTGCAGTGCGCTTAACATGTGAAAGCTTCCAATTACATCAAAACACACATTGTCACACACATCAACGGCATTGAAAACCTCTTTGACCAGCATGGTTCTCTTGTCGGACATTCCCCGCTCCAATCCAGCGGAGGATACCCCCTTAGCTCAACTTAGCTCTTTAGTTTGAATGGCCTTTGAAACAAGGGCATCCTGCTTCGTGTTCACAAATTGTTGCAAACATCCTCTAAAGCAAGTAGCCTGACAGGGGAATCCCCCAATGAGTCCACTCGCTTTCGACTTGATGTCCGCCGAAGGTTCAAAACCCCGAACATCTTCATATATAGGTCCTGAGGGTAGCAGCCCCTCGGCCATCCGGCATTTCAGCACTTCACGGCAGTGCGGACTGGCTTCTACCTCGGCGAAACTTTGCAACACATTGGACTGACAAAATGAAAGTACATGCGCCACAAACATCCTGAGCGAACAACGTAGCAGATTGTCCGGGCAAACCTTGAAGCAATATACGAACAGGGCCACTCTTGATAATAGTTCAACTAGTAAGGCCCAGGAATACACCATGGATACACCTGGGCATTCTTGGGGCAAGGCCGTGCCAGCCCAAGATCCAGGCCACCAACGCCACTGAACATGGAAATGCAGCAAGGCAGCCTTGCCATGTCCTCTTCAAGACTGTGCGAAAAAGATAGAGAGAGAGAGAGAGAGAGAAAAAAAAGGGTATAGCAAGAAAGAAACCACATGAAAGGAACAAACCAAAAGAACATTGAAAATGACCGTCAGGCCTCAGGGGAAGGATGATCTGGAAAAATCTTCTCAAAGTCAAGCGGTGACACTGCGTTTTCTGTGGGCGCACTCCATCCGGAAGGTAGGCCTGTCAAGAGTCAAGCTGGCAGTCGACTGGAAACAACCCCAATCAACTCGCAGTCAAGGTTTCAGCCTGAAAGAAATTCTGCTATTTCACAAGGTAGGACTTTTCCGGGCTTTACCCGGGCAAGGCGACACTGGCAGGGATAGTGGTCCCAGTGATGGACTTGGGTCGCCACGTCCTCTCGCGTGAACCCAAAGCATCAAAGAGATTGCATGAGTCTGGCCTTGAGGGTCCTGGCACGCCCGCTTGCTTAAATGAGTTGTTGTGGCCCTCACTGTCGCTGTGAAGCATCCTTGGCAAAACTTGCCAGCTAAACCTCCAAAAGAATTCTAAGTACACAATCACTCAAAACATCTCAACATCTAAGATCATCTAAGGCATTGATGTGAAACCAAAGTTCGCAGTGCACCGAATGCATTTCGGATGATTGGTGTAGTCTGCAGCGCAACTTTCCGTTTTGGCTTTTGAACCCTCGGAGGAACCTGCGCGGTCAAGGGGCAAACGCGTTGACCAAATCCAACCAAAATACAATGACTAGTCAACCAGGGTCGCTTCCACTGTTCCATCTCATTTTTCCATCTTACTTGTTCCATCCGCGCTTGCTGCCAAGAAACCAAATTCATGTTGAGGGGCCCGCAGAAGGGCTCATCATGGCCCCAGGGATCATATGGGACAAACCGAATCAACCCTGATGATGATTGTTGGCTGCAGTGCATTGTCCCAAACTTCGGCGCTGCCACAGCCCAAATCAGCCAACCCCAGATACAAAACCCAACCCCGGATAGGAGGCAAAAGCTTTCAAAGCTGGGGACCCTTCAGATCCAAGTGGCTGTACTGACGGCACAGGCACTCGGTTCCCCGAGGCGTTGTCGAACCTTTCTCTTAGCTCTTTGATGATCCGACTCTGCTCAGCAAGTTCTGACCGGAGGGCATCTTCTCTTTGCCTAGCTGATGCGCGTTCACTCTCAATGACGGCATGTCTTTCGAGTGAAATCCGATCTAAATAAGCCCTTTGTTCATGACGTTGTTGGTTCTGATGGGCTTGGTTCATGTCACTTAATCGTTGATTGGCAATAGCCTCATGTTGTTCCCTAGGCTCCTCAATGGCCGCCCTGGCTTGGTGAGCTATACCGTCCCTGAATTGCCTAGCTTCATCCGCTACCTGCTGTCCGTGCTCGGCCAAAATGGCCTGATGCCTTAGTTCCGCAATCTGAGCTACCTGAGCTGATCGATCTTCGTTAACGAAGAGTGCTTGTTGATGAATCTGTCTCGCATCAACATTTTGAACGTTCAACACAGGCGAAAACTCGGCTTGAAAAGGCGACGGCGCATGGACAGTAGGCACCAGGTCCCCCTGGGCACTGAATGACGGAGGCTCAATTGGCCTACGAAGATCCAGCGGAACAACAGGGAGTTCAAGCGCAGGTGAGCTAGACATAGCAGGTGAAGTAGGAACATAGCCTGATCGGGAACTGTCACCACGGGAACCATCATCATCAGCCATGGCCTCTAAGTAGCGCACTACTTACGGTGGGTGAGACCAAAGCTAGTAACAAGCACGTACCGCACTTATGGCGATACGGCTGATAACCTGTAGTTACAGGCAAACGGCCGACACGAGTCAACAAACCGCACCTGTTTTCCTTGAGCCAAACGTAAGGTAAGTATGACATGTATTAGACACACTAGCGTGAAACAACAGAATGTCTGGCTAGGTAGCGGCGGGAGTGAAGTGGGACAATTGCGGCCCAAAAAAGTACGAGAGCGACCAGGCAAGCATGCTGAGCACGAAAGTTCCATTGTTTGAGCAGCAAAAGCTGTGGAAGAATAATTGCAAGTCATTGCAGCATGTGCCATTCTGTGAAGAAAACTTCCCGCGGACCACATGCTGTGGCTTGCTTTCAAGGATACAGGATACAGCAACACATTGACATGTTGGTTAGGAAGCTGCTTTTTTCGGCGGCTGGATGGCCTCAAAATGAAAGAAAAACACGGACACCAAATTCATGAACCTCGGCAAAAACAGAATGGGAGGTAAGGGCCCAATAAAAGCAATACTTCTGCCTGAAGCATCATCTGGACAGCAACTGGCTGCTCAGTCTGTACCTCTCTTTGGCCTGCCAAAGATTCTGTCATTCACACTCACACGCCAACAGCTGAGCACACAGCAAAGAAATCCGAGCGCCTGGGCCGCGTCAAGCTGCAACTTCACTCCCTGCCAGATCGGGTAAGCTTTGCTTGGCTTTATCAAGTTATATATTACCTGAGAAGGCAGGGGACGAAAGCCAACCTCCATAAGAAGACATCCAGGCGGTTATAGGTTGAATTCGACAGCGCACTGGAACTGCTGTCAGGCATGAGGAAATAAAAGGCAGAGGCGGAAAGGTTCACATTGAGGGACGATATGTATGACACGTTCTGTATACAGAAGGTTTCGATCAAGGCCCATTAACGGCTATAGGATAGAAGTGGAGCCCATGCATTTGGAAAAAAAGGAGTTGAGAGAAGACCAAACGCCTTTCCGTTAGAAACATAGGGGTTTGTCCACTTGCGTCGTCGCTTTCATGGGCAGGGTTGCATTTTTCCCCAAATAGTGCTCCGCACTAAGGGGTTCTTACGGTAAGAGTTAAGCGGGTTTAGATCAGGCGCGTGGCCCCGGCATTTTGCGTGGGTCCGCTCGCGCAAAAGTTACTTTTTGAATTCCTCATGTCCATTTCGACTGCGCAGGCTCGCATAAAGTGGGGGCCGCGCCTTTCGCGCTTCCGGGACAAAGCTCTCGCGCAGGCGCCGTGCTCGTTTTCGGACATGAAGTGCATTTTGCGTGGCAGGCGCAAGGAATTCGACACATTGGAGCCTCGAAAAGGTCATTTTACGTGGCAGGTGCAAGGAATCGGAGACTTTGCAAATTTCGTGGCAGGCACAGTGTTTTGTGGACGTTGCAAGAACGTTGGCAGGCGTGTGTCATTCGCAGGATTGCGTTTCACGTGGCAGGCGCAGGGAATCCGCACCATGGATGCGATATTTTGAGGTGAAACGGCTGAATTCGTGAGAGTGGTCGCATTTTTGGAATTTGAACTTGAGGATGCTTTTGCGTGGCCAGTGCAGCGTTTCGTATGACCTGCAGGCGTGATTTCGTGGCAGGCACAGCATTTCTGAAACGCATTTCAAAATTTGCGAAAGCCTCGTGCAATTTGCTCGTTTTGGATCTCCGATGTGCAGATTTCGTGGCAGGCGCAGCACTTTGTGAATCTCGATGCGCAGA